CCCAGCAATCAGGAGAAACCAGGTGTAGCCCATCCCATGGCCACACATTCTGCCACTCTGTCTCCTGTGAAGAAAGGTAAAAGACCCAGACCTTTGACTTTGCTGTCACAGGGAGGATTGAGCAAAGTCTGTGTTGAATGGGTGACTTCAGGTTGTCCACAGGCATGTTTCGGTATTCTAATAAACCGTGGTACTGGTCATTGTTTTCAGCTTTGGCCTTGTCTAGGATGTGTTTTGCTGTCTGGACTGTCTTTTAGCAAGGCCATTGCTCTGCATGTATCGGGGGCCTGTAGTGGTGTGTTTGAAATCCCATGCCTCTGCAAAGTGCCTGAACTTAGCACGGGCCTACTACCTGCCATTGTCTTTCAGGTATTGTGTATGATAGCAGGGGCTCTTTGGGATTTGCGCTGCATCACTCCTGGCCTATGCTGCATTTTAGTGCAATGAGCTGACATCTTGTGCTGTTGCTTTTTTGATTTTGTGTAGTCTGTTGTCACTTACTGGAAGGCTGCTGATGAGGTTGTGTACTTGTGCGTCCATACCTTCCATCAGGTTGTCATCTTTGTATTTGATTGAGTTTCGTGACAGAGTGTTAGCCGGCGGTATTTCCTTGCCGGGACAGGTGGATGATGTGGATGTTGTGTTTTTTAAGCTGTAATATCATTCTTTGCAGCCGTGGTGGTGCTGCTGCCAATTGTTTCCGGAGTATTGCTTTCAGTGGTTTGTGGTCTGATTCCCCAATCACCTTTCGGCCGTACTTTCAGTAGGTCCGGACTGATGCCTTTGCAGAAAAAGCTTGTGCCTGAAATAGCTGAGCTCTGACACACATATATGGCATTTGTCAGGGTTATTACGCTCTCCCTTGTGCGTTGTAGCATAGCTCTGAGGTTGTCATCTTTGTTCCTGTTTGGTCTTCCCGAGGATGTCATCTGCAATCGCATCTATGCCATTAAGACTTTCATACGTCTCATCCACGCACCTCTGAAATTCATCCTGAGCTGAGCCAAATACCAAAAGGCAGTCTGAGAAATCTGTACCTGCCAAAAGGTGTGTTGAATGTTAGCACTGATGATTCAGTGTTCAGTTTTATGGCCCAATAACCTGACCTAGCATCTAAGACACTCAAGTACTGAGCTCCAGTGAGTTTTGTGGTGACACCTTCTAGTGTTGGTAGGGGGTAGTGAGGTCACTGAATAGCCTTGTTGAGGTATCTGGGGTCTAGGCATATTCTCGGCCTTTCCTGTGTGAGGTTTTTCAACTACCACTAAAGCGTTCTGTTACCTCGTTGTTGTTGGCTCCGTAGTGTGATGGGGATCCTGAATGGCCTTGCATTAGGGTCAACACAGAGGTTACACTCTCCTGGGAACTCACTGATGCCCTGAAAAACATCTGAATATTCCTTCAGTATGCTCTGTGGGTCACTGTCTGGTTTATTGCCTCCTTTTTTCACATCCAGTACCAACTTGATCAAGTTCAGGTCCAAACTAGCTCTCAGTCCCGAGAGGCGTTGGTGTTGACAATGTAGAACTCAAAGGTCATTGCATTGTCTTTGTATTTGCATTCCATGTTGCAAATTCCTCTGACTCTCCTGCATCTCCTCCATATATGAGCCTGTGTGTGGCTGGCTGTATGGCAGTGTTCCCAAAAAAAGTGTCAAATATGTTTTCTGGAATGGCATTGATCTCTGTATAAGTGATGATTTATAACTTTAATAACTGAGATCGATACCATTGTCACAAATTGGTTGTTTATTCAGCTGTCTTGAGTCTCGGTACACGCATACAAATCTTGCAGGACTTTTATACACTCGACCTTTAATGTGAATGCTGGGCTTCCATAGGAATGCTCACCCAACTTTTGGCATATTTTATCCTGTAAATTTCAGTACATTTTCTACTAGCCACAAAGTGTAATTTATTTATCAGTTACATACTACAGATGCAAACACTGTGGATAATGTAAGTTTACCAGTAAAGGCACACATTTAGAAACTATAAGTCACAAGGCATAAGGCCTTATTCAATCAGCCAAAAATGTTCCCTTTTACTCACATATTTGTGGAGTTTGGGTGAATAGGTGCTGTCTAGTTACAGCCTAGGAAGTGTGTTAGCAGGTGATGACAACATTGTGTAGGTAAACTTTCATTTGGCATCCCCCTTGTGTTATAGCTGCTCCTATAAAGTCTTCTCTCAGAAGGCTGCATGCAGCTCAGCAGTAGATGTCCGTCTATAGAACTTGGTGCCACAATGCTGTGCTTCTGGAACGGGATGGTTTTACGTAAGCTTATGCGTTTCTGACCTGTTGATCGTGTTTTTCTCGCTCTGTATTTATTGTACACTATACGTGTCACATGCTAGAAGGGGGGGTTTTGGGTGTAAAGTTGTATTTAGTCAATGCAATTCTAGCCAGTTGCAGCTGTGAGATTATATTGAACTTCATTTGACGATCCACACAGGAAAAGTTGGAGAGATTAAAACGCTTTAAAACAAAAAACCAGGAAAAATACGCTGACTCAACAACAACTCATTGGTTGGTGGCTCGAAACCCTCCCTATAATACGCGAAGGGCATCCTAATTAGAACGACGTCATTTTAGTTTCGAGGTTTGTTGTATCACTTTTCCTTTGCATAAACTTTTTGCTAATCACAACCTTTTTTATGAAGGAGTTCTTCTATACAACCATGCGCTACATCTTATTTGCTAATACATTATTGTCTGATTGTCTGATCTTGATAGTAACAAATTTCTTGCTCATCTTTGACTATTTTCATTTGACCATGCAAATATGGTTGTGTCTTATTTTCTACATTTTATCATCTGTGTACACTTTTGTCACACCAGTTACTCTGACTGCAATGACCCTGGAGCGCTATGTGGCCATTTGCATGCCCCTGCAACATTCAGAGCTGTGCTCCACACACAGGTCTCTGCACTGTATTCTCATCATTCACAGCCTCAGCTATGTACCCTGCATTGTGATTCTCTCAGTCTTCTTTGCATCAGCCTCCCTTAGCTTCTACAAACAATACAAGGTCTGCTCTGTGGAGATGTTCATATTTCACAGTTGGCAGCGTCATCTTAGGTCAGCTATAAGTCTGTTTTACTTCTTGATCATGTTTATTGCTATTGTATTCTCGTATGTTAAAATAATGAAAGTTGCCAAAGCTGCATCAGGAGAGAATAAAAAGTCA